CAACATTAATCAATTATAAATATGTCTCATAAGGTGATATTTTATTATATTTAAAAAATATATCTTTAATTTCAAACATATTATTTATTTAGTATTTATTTATATATGTATTTCTTAAATTTTCACGCATGATTATAATAATTTCACAAAATTATGACATTTTAATTTTAAATCAATTATTTATGATTATTAACAATTTCAAATCTATTGACTTTTTTATATAATATATAATATATAATAGATACATAAATAATTTTGAAAACTATAGATAGAAATCAAATTTTTGAGTGATATTAAGAAAATATTAAAAGTATTTTTATTATTTTATATCTTAGGGAACAATTAAAAAGAATTTAACAGCTAAAGATGGACAAGAACCAAATATTAAATTTAAATCAAAAAATTCATCACCTCATAAAGAGTCAGAAAATTTTGAACAATTAGATTTAAAATTAATAAGAATGTCACAAACTCTTCAAAGAAAAAAGAATGATGATCATTCAAGATTAACATATAATTTACAATCAAACAAAAGCAATACGAAACAATCTATTAAATCTGCTAAAATTATTCCTGTTAAGGAAAGTTTATCTTCAACATCAAAATTAAATGTTAATAGTCCTAGATCATCAAAAAGTATTTTAACATCAAAAACATCAACTGATTCTACAAAAAAAATCAATAATATTACTATAAAAAGTAGTAAAAGTAGTACTGGAAGAATAAAAAGCAATTATTCAGAAAAGAGAGGATTAAGTACAATATATGTGCCACAATCACTTTCAAGCAAGCTTAATGCTAAATTATCAGATAAAAATTCTAGTTCGATATCAAAAGACAAAGAACAAATTAAAGCACATACAAATACCTCAGAAATAACTGAATCAAAATTAAAATCAAGAGAACGTAAATTATCTAGAACATTAAGTCCTAGTGAAATAAAAATGTTACATTCTGCTAAAAATAGATTAGATTCATTACAGAAAATGGATCAAAATAAAGAAGAACAAGCAGATTATGAATATGATTATGAAGATGATTTTGAAGTAAAATAATATATTATAATACATGTTTATATGTATTATTATATGTTTGTAATTTTAATTTACATCATTTTATAGGATTATGAGTCTGATTTTCAAGAATGCACAGATAGTGAATCATCTGAAGTTAGTGAAGAAACAAATAATTATACTAATTTATCACTAGATCCAATCGAATTACATACTACAAAACAAGTATTGATATTTATTTTATTATAAAATAATATTTTTTATTTTATTATAAAATATAATAATATTTTTATTTTAAATTACTATTTTATTTTAGCACAAAATTGTGAACAGTACTGAATCAAAAGAAGAAGAACATATGCATGATTCTGGTCATTATGAACTTACAGAAGCAAGAAAAAGAGCAGCAAGAATAGAATTAATTACAAATGATCCAAAATTATCTTCTCTTCTTGAAATAAAACAACCAGTTAATAAATCATATAGGTTTGTTTTAACTAAAATCAAGTTTCAAGATAATTAAATAATATATTGTACAGCTTGTATTGTATTTATTAAATAATTATATAATTAATTTATCAAATGATTTTGGAAATAATATTTATTTTAATAAATACTTTAATATATATTTTAATATTTTATACTTTAATATATATTTTAATATTTTATACTTTAATATATATTTTAATATTTGTGTATATTTTTTTATATAGTGAAGAAAAATCAGAAAATAAATCATTACCATTATCTACTGATGAAGGATTTGAAGATAGTCGTTCCGGTGATTTTACAAAATCGCCATCAATCTCACAAATTTCATTTATTAATTTCCATAAAGTTAAAGAAAAAAAAAAAACAAAGGTAATAAATTAATTTGAAATAAATTAAATTTTTCATTAATACTTTTAAATTAATTTTATCTATTAATACTTCCAGAAATCTAAAAGAACTTTAAGTAGAGGTGAAGAACTTTTAGAAATGATAAAATTAGATGTTATGGAGTGGTCTCTTTTAGAATGTTTACCTATACCATATGAAGAATTTATTAGAAATTATGGAAAATTAAATACTCAACAAGTATGTTAATAGCCAATTATTATTTTTATTATGCAATAATAATATGATAATAAATATAAATAATAAATTCGATTTTTAGATATCAACACAAACTGGTGAAGATAATATTGATATAGAAATACAAACAGAGAAAATTATATTTAAAAATAAGTGGACTCAATTCCCTATAACTTGCAGAAATAATATACAAACCAAGGAAGATTTAGACTTGTTTCGTATGGTATATAAATTTATTTTTTAATTATTAATATAATTAATTATTATTAATATAATTAATTATTAATATAATTTCAGGATCAAATTGGAACTGGCAGCGATAATGATATAGAAACTGTGAATTCTTTATTATTACAATCTTTTGATATATTACGATTAAATGATTTTATAAATCGCGCAGGAAAAGTAATATTATCTTTACTGGAAGAAAGACGATCTGGTGGTAATGTATTTAAAAATGAAAAAGAAATACCATTCAGTGATGGTATTGTCAAACTTTGTATAAATTCTGTAACATTTCTGGCTGGTAGAACAGTAACAATAATTCATTATTCTGAAGTCCTAAATAAAATCTTATTGACTATTCATTCTCCAGTCGAAGAAGTAAGAATTATTTATTCAAGATTTATTATATTAAATTTGAAGCAATAAAAATTATATATTTTATATAGGAAATTGAAACATCCAGCAAACAAGATTATATAACTGATTGTTGTATTGGATGTATTTGGAATATTTCTGAACCATCTATGCCAATTAAATTATTTTATTCTATCTGTCCTATTACTGCATGTTGTTTCCATTCGGCAAATTATAATATTATATTTGGTGGATTGCAAGATGGGTATATTACTTTGCTAGTTATTTTCAATATTTTACTATGTTTTATTTATATTTTATATGAAAATAAACAAAATTTATATAATTATAGATCAATAAGTCTCTGGGATTTAAAAGAAGATGAAATGTGGCATCACAAAATTACAGATAAAGCCAATAATTTAGATTGGACAATACGAATACCCACATACACAACAGCAACAAATATTGATATAAATATTCATACTACACAAATCGTTGCAGTACGTGTATTATCTAAAATTGAAGAAAAATCATTGGTACGATGTAACAATAAATTTATACCAATACAGGTTTGTTAATATTATTAAATATATTATATTTAATTAATTGCATTTAATAATGTTGTTGTAATTAATAATGTATTAATTTATTATATTATATATTATAATTAATATTATTTATATTAATTACTAGATAACTTTATATTAATTTTTAATTGACATTTTATTAATTAACTTTAATTATTAATATGATTTCGCAATAGATATGTAGCTTAAATGAAAATGGTACTCTTATTATATGGAGTGTTTTGCATAATATGGGCAAAAATATTGAAGATTTAGGACTATCATTTTGGGGTACTATAAAGCTTGTTAAAAGTCAAGAATTGTTTTTACAATCTAATCATAAAAAAAAGTAAATATTTTGTAATAAGTTGTGCATTATGTATTGAATATCAATTTTATTAGAATATTTTAACTCTTTATAAGGATCAATGCAGCTACTTTTATTGATATGCACGTGGATTGTATTAATAGTAACAATTTTTATATTGCTACTAATAGTAACAATATTTTGCATGGTACTTGTATTGGTAAAAAAACTAATCCTGCTATATACACAAAGTTGGATACTAGTAAGTTATCAATGGTATCTTAATTTTAATTTGTTAATTATTCATTTATTTTATTTGATATTTCAGGTGCCTGTGGAAATGTAACTTATATAGAAAGTTGTCCATTTGATTATTCATTTTTTCTGGTAAAAAATTTTTATGCAAATTCATAAATTTTTTAATATTATTATATTTCTAAAGTAGTTTGTTATTATAGGTTAGCTGTGATGATGGAACAATTCGGTTGCACTCTTTAAATACTGAAAAACCAATTTTACAATTAAAAGATGAAGACAGTACATATATGATTAAATCAATACAATGGTCACGGTCAAAACCATTTACATTTTTTGTATTAGATAATAAATCATGGTAAGAAGACATAAGAAGACATAATAAAATGAACATTGATTTAAATAATTTAATTTAATTAAATAATTTTACATATTAATATTTTAGCATACATATATGGGACTTAAGTAATAGTGATATATATCCAACATATAAAATAAATATGCAAAAAAATGGAAATATAAAAAGTATGCAATTATCATATTGTAAAACAAAACGAGATATGTCTCATCAATACTTGGTATGTTAATTTTTTTATATATTGCAATTTATGATTCAATATATTATTTTTTTTTTTTTTTTTAGGCATTTGGTATAGAATCTGGAGATGTAGAAATACACAAATTAAAAACAAATTTTTATCACTCAAAAAAAGAAGATTATTTAGAAGAATTAAATACTTTTATGCGATATATTGCAATTTTATAATTAAGATAAAATCATTAATAGAAACTATTCAAAAAAATTGAAACTTTTTTATATTCTCAGTGAATTAAAAAAAATACTATGGATACTATGGATATATATATATTATATTTGTATTTTTCAAGTAAACTGTATTCAAAAATAATATTTAAGGACAATCCCATAATCATTTTAAAAACATTTTGTTAATGATAATGTTATATCATTTTAACAGATAAAACGCAACTTATACAAAACTATTATTATTTATTAAGCAATTATTTATTAACTATATTATTATGAAATTGTGTACAAATTATATACAATTAATTGTTTTATAATATAAAAAAATATTTAAATAATATAATCCTAATGAAGAATAATGTAGTTTATAATACAATTTTTATTATTTATTATTTTTTTTATTATAGTGAAATTTTATTAAAACATGAATATATATATACATACAATAACAGTAGATATGATATTTAATGATGCTTAAGCAATTTATAACAACAGAACAAAAAATATATATATAAAAATCATGTTATAAAGAGAACTCAAACTTTTTACACCACTACAATTAACTTGTTTCACGATATCGTTAATAATATCGGAATAATTGCTCATTGCTCGTTGAATTTGATGAACTTCTAACTGTAGATGTTGTGTCCCTTCCTACAAAAAAAAACATTTGCATTTGTTTTAATTACTTCTTTTTATCTAAATCAAATGATCGTTAATTTACAAAAATTAATTCTTTCTTATAAAATTTTATGTTATATATTCATAATGTGTGATTATTGTTCGTGGATCGATCAAATTTTAACAAGAATTAGAAATGAAATAAAACCAGAGAAAAAGAAACGTCGTGTCTACGTAGATCCTGTTATAATAGTGCATGGAGGTGCAGGAAAAATTCCTCGTAACAAACGTAAACATATACTCCTTGAGGTTGGAAAGCATTACATTCAAATCAATATTCAAATTGTTGTTAATTAGGAAAATAAAAATTTTTAATTCAAATAGGTTAAAAATGCAGCAATTGAAGCATATAGCGATCTTATTAACGGTCGATCAGCAGTGGATGCGGTAGAAAAAGCAATTTCTTATATGGAAAGTAGATCATTATTTAATTGTGGAAAAGGAGGTTCTTTAGATATTAATAATGAAGTTGTCATGGATGCTGCTATAATGACAACAAAAGATGCTGGATGCGTAGGTGCTGTACGTGATATAGAACATCCGATTTCTTTAGGTTTGTATTTTATGATAAAATAATATTCATTTTAAAAAATTTTTAATTGTAATATAATATATGCAGCACGAAAAGTGTTAGAAAAAACGGAACACATCTTAATTGTTGAAAAAGGAGCTCAAAAATTTGCATTAGATCACGAAATTCCAATTTTACCGCCAAGTAGTTTACGTGAATTCTCTTCATTAAGTTCATTCAAATCCATAAGTGAATCATTTGAAAATGAACAAGAAGAATGTGAAATAAACGAATTGAAAAATGAAAAAAATGAAAAAAATGAAAAAAATGAAAAAAATGAAGAAAATGAAAAAAAAAAATGTGATTCAAATTGCGTTATATATCGATATGAAGAAGGCGAAGTATATCCTCGTGAATTATCTGATGATGATGTAGATATCGTAGATGAACCAATAATTTTACAAGTATGTTTTTTGTACTTTTGCTTTTCAATTTTGATTAAAAAATCATCATATTTGTCGAATTGTATTTATAAAATATTAATGAAAAAATAATATCTATAGTTTCGTATATTCTCACCAAATCATATTATATAAAATATAATTGAAAAATGTTAATATCAGATTGGTGCAGTTGGAGTAGTTGCATACGATCGTAAGAAACGACTTGCAAGTGGAACATCGACAGCGGGAGAATCTGGAAAACCAGTTGGTTCTGTAAGTTCAATCGGTACCGTAATTGGTTGCGGCATTTATACAAACGAACTTGGCTGTACTTCTGTTTCTGGTAATGATTCTAGTATCTATTGCTATGCACCAGCACGTAAAATAATTAGAAAGTTATCTGAAGATATATGTATAACTAGTGCAGTAAACAGTGTACTGCAGAACTTCGAAATGGAAACTGGAGATTCTCATGTAGGTGCTATTGCATTAGACGCAAAAGGAGAACCTTGTATTTCTTTCAGATGTATACATTTTCCATGGGCTTTTTGTGAAAAAGGTTATGTTTATTATGGAATGGTAAAAAATGAAAAATATAGAGAAAAAATAACTATACTTGAACGACCTTTGGACTGTATGTGCTTAAGTTCTGATGAAGAGTAAAAAAAATATTTGATTTTATATTATATCGACATATATTATATTATGTGTTATATTATATATATTCAAATTTATTTGTATAAAGATTTATTTTTAATAATATTAATTTTATTTGATTTGGATTATATATTAGTATCTTATTATTTTAAAGCTAATATTCTTACGTACTGGAAATATAATACTTTCGTTTGAATCGTATATCCCATACATAGAAAATGCGGGTGTACGACCCTTGAAGGTACTTCCGAAAAGTTTGTCCATTTCTAACAACATAGAATAAATCTCATCTCGTCGCAACTCTGTCATATTTTCATTCGTTATTACCTAAAAATAATCCAATATCTATATTATTATTATAAAATTATAAAATACTATAAAATTTTTTTAATATCAAATATACCATGCCCAATGGTGCCCATGTAAGTAAACATACTTCATTCGAATCTACTTCATTAAAACATAACGTTCGATATTTATTATTTCGCATTTGATTATTATGTTTTTTTATTAAAATACCTAAAATATCATAATTAAAATGTAAAATAAAAAAAATTAGTTTAAAATTTATTAATTTTTTTGTATAAATGTTAATAAATTAATTTTTTTTTTATTTATTTGTCCAATATATTTACCACTTTTTTCAATTTTCTTCAAATCAACAAAAGCTACGTCACCAATATTAGACATCATACAATCAAAGGCACTCAAGTCTTTTCCAACTCCGTTTGCTACAAATTTTGTTGGTTTTCTTGTTTCATTGATATTAGAATTGCGTCGTTTCATTGTTATCATCGTGCAATGTGTACGCACCTTGTTTAGTTAAGGAATGTAAATTATATGGCATTTGCCCATCATTGTCACTCAGACCAACAATGGAACTCTCTGTAAAGAAGTTAGCAACTGCTTCCGTGTCGCAATAAAACTTTGAATTCGAAATAATTTTCAATACAGCCACAAAAGCATTCCATCCTACAAAAAATATGTTTTGCTTGTTAACAATAACAAATTATCTTAGTTATTGTTTCTAACAAATTATTTAATTTATTATAAATCACTATTTAAGAAAATAAAAAAAAAATGAAAAATTATATTTACCCATATCTCGGTATCCCGTAAAACACGCTTTAGCTCCTTTCAAGTCTTTTAAATTTTTGAACCGCGAATCTTGTTTCACAACTGCTGCAATTCTAATGAATTCATTGTTTCTCTTGGGTACTACTTGTGCCATTGTTTTTAAACCAATTCTATTTTAAATATTACCAATATAGTCAACATTATTTTAAACATAATTATAATTTTTTTTACAAAATATTATTTTTTCCATGAATACAATTCTCATCTTTACTCACTTTCTGGCCTGGAATAATTCTTCTGGTTTTGCAATAAATATATCTGCACGTTCGGTCTTAAGAGCTTTTAAACAGTCTGCTCTTGTTAATTCTTGAATACAGGAAATCGCTGGTTCTACACCATACACAATCGAAGCTTCTCTAAGCCATCGACATTTATTTTCTTCTAAGTTCGAAACAACACACCATTTTACTCTTCTTGATGGATGACATGATACGCGATTGTTAGCGCCCATAAAACGAGGGACTACGATTAAATATTAAATTTTAAATAAAATCCTAAATTATTTTTTTTAATTTGCAAGTTATTCGTATTATAATGAATCATTGCTAATTACATTTTACTAGAAAGTCTTCCGGTGTTTCCAAAATATCTGTGCTCACAGGTGTTGGATGATAATTTTCTAATAATTGTCGTAGCTTCCAACCGAATTTGTCTATCTTCAAAGAAATCATTATCTTTTCCACCTTTTTTGCTACTTCTCTGGTAAAATGCAAATATCACTTAAAATATACATTATTTAATCAAATTCTTCTTGTTAACATTTTCTACTAACGATCTAGCGATAATTACTGGCCAAGGTTTCGTGATCCATACACATGGTTTATCGAGTTTTACAGGTCTCGTTGTACCATCCGGACAAAGATATTTGTAATCTTCCTTGTTAATTCGTTCATCCTGATTTCATAATTCATTAACAAATTATTAAAAATTCTTATATTATTATATTATTATATTATTATATTATTATAATTTAAAATAATTAATGTATTTTATTGCACATGAAAATTAATTATTTCTTGCTTCATGAAAAAAACAGAAAAAATAATATTTTTAAATCTTTTATTTTTCATTACTTTTTTTTATTATCTCAAACGGATTAATGTGTCATTTATAGATTAATTCTTTTACCTTAAAATGTTCCAGAGTATCATTTAATCTAACCCAGGCAACGTCACCTGCGTTATCAGTAAGGCACAATAAGGCACCTTCGCGACCATGATACATATCACTCGAATAACAGCCCATTGGATTGTCGCATGCAGCACAAAGATTTCTATATTTCGATTCTATAAGGGAAAAAATTGTTATAGAGTGATTAATGTTCTATATTGTTTTCTATTTATTTAAATTGTTAAATACCTACTTAAATTACTATCATATATAGTATCTGCGGTCCAAGGCCCAGCTATACAAGCTGTCTCAAAAAAATTTGACAAACCATTCATTCGATCTTCTAATAACGTCTTATGTGGATCACAATTTCTCGGTATTATCCATTCTTCAAAATACTACAATTGTAATAAAGGTATGTTAATTCTCTCATTTTTTTTATATTTTTTACTTTATATGATACTATTATATTTTATATCTAATTTTATGCTTAAAATATTTATTTAAAATAGAATAAATTATTTTATTCAATAAAAGCTTTGAAAATGATTTAAGTAGATTTTGAGAATATTTAGAAAAAATTAAATAATTATTATATTTTATATAAATGTTGATATATTTTTTAAATTTATCTAATATTTAAAAATTTAATATTATAACAATAAATTTCTTCTATTTTTATATAGTGTAGTTTATATATTGTATGTAATAATTTAATTGATAACATAGTTTTTAAAAATAAAAATAATAAAATATATATCATCTATAACCAATCTTGTATATATATAGCAATTGTTCTTTAAGTTATTAAAAGAGAAATTCGAATTGTTTTAAATTATTAAACTTAATATATGTAAATTAATTAAAATTTTTTTATTTTTTTTGATATTTTAATAAACTAAATTACTCAATAATCAATCAACTTTGTTCTTAGGAATATAACTCATTAGTTACTTCAATTACCAAAAATTGATTTATAAAAAAAACATAAAAAATAAAAAATAATTATAAAAAAATTAACCGTTGAAAAAGAATTGGTCCAATCATCAGTAGTATCTAATCCAGGATGACAAAATCTTTTACCCTTAATGTCCCATATATTTCTCACGTTTTTAGAGACTATAACTACCATTTCATAACGTTGTTTCTCTAATAAAAAATAAAATAATAATGGTAAAACATAAATTTTAATATATTCAAATATTAATAATCAGTAATATAACTTTAAATTACTATTTGATTTACTTTGTTATTACCGTCTGAAAATAATCTTAATTCGTTTGTGACTAGAATGTTGTACTCGTTATACGCGGACGCTGCAACCAGATCTTCCGGTTCCAATACAGTAAAATCGGCTTTACTCATAGACAAATATCGTAGGCAATTAAATCTATATAATTTAATATCGTTAAAGAAACAAAAAAAAATTAAGATATTAAATAGAAAAAAAAGCAAAATTAATCAATATATATTAAAAAAGTATAAAACTTATCATTTTTCCTATTAATTTGTTATACTCGCCTATCACTTCCTATAACACACTCTATCTGATTCCCTGAGATTGTCAATTGTGGGCAAAGTTTGCGAATTCCTTTTATTGTATGAATACTTTCAACCATGCATAGTTTTACTGAAATGATATTTTTTTTTTTTGTGATTTTATCTTATTTTGATTACGCAAAAGAAAATTATGAATAATATATTATCAATGATAAATAATTTGCTCAATGCTCAATTTAAGTGAAAAATTGTATTAAACAATTTTTTATAATATATTATAATATCATTCTACTCTTTTATGAAAATTATCAAAGTATTATTTTATAATATTATTTGACGTTTTACCAAAATCATAGATTGTGTTAATATCACGATATTATTATCAGCTTTATTACTATTGTATAAGAATTTAAGAAAAAATTTTTTATTGTTTATTTGTTATTTTTTTTTTAATTTCTAATTATGATTTTATTGATTAATTTCTAATTATGATTATAAAATTTGATTATTAAATATGATTATAAAAATGATTATAAACTTTATAATTCAATAAAATATTAAGACAAGAAATATTTTGAATATTATTAAAAATTACTTACAACTTTCAGCATTGATATTTTGATGAAAAAATGCGATGAAAAAGAATAAAACAAATAATAGAATATCCATCTTCGATAATTTTCCAACCAATATTTTCATCAAAAATAACTTAAGTTTTCGGTCTTTCACTTTTTTAAAAAGAAGATTCTTTAAACCAATTATTAAAAAGTATACGATATTTTTTCACACGTTTTAACACAAATTATTAATTAATAACATAAACAGTAAAATACAAATATTATTTCATAATAAAAATACAAAATGTTTAGAATCAATTTCAATCAAACTTTTTACGTAAAGATGATAAATTTTATTTATCATCTATCTATAAATATCTGATGATTTAAAACATTAATAAAAATTGTATTTCTCTTAGTAATATAATTTTTTCATTATATTTCTTCTATTTATTTTTTCTCGTTTTTTTTATATCGTTATTATTATCATTATTATATTAAGAATTCAAATTTTGTTTCAACAATTCTATTTAAAATTTCATTGAAATCGATTCTAATATTTCGCAATCATCAATTCTTCTGCTTCTCTTACATATCACTAAAATTCAATTAATACGATATTGAAACGAATCAATGATTTTTCAATGATTACAAGAATAATAATTAGTTGATAACGATTATTCATTTCTATTCATGATATAATTGAATGAATCAACACAATATTTCTTTTATATTTTTTTTTGATGAATAACGTGATAACAAATATAGTGACATCACTTAATTAAATTTTCAATGATTGTAAAAACAATAATTATTTTATATTTTCTTATACTTTCGACAACACATAACTTCACTTTTCACAGAAAAGACTGAATTTTTTTTATATTATTTCTCTCATCAGAGAGCTAAATACAGATGTTCGACGGCTGAACTAGAAAACAGTAGCGGATAAACAATGCACAGTCGGTTTTAAAAGGATTGACTATGAATTACATGGAAAAGGTCAACCGGTTTCTTACATGAAGTAAGAGTAATTCTCTGCAACTTTAACTTTTCAACAACTACTTTGGAGATGCCACAAACAACAATCGATGAATTTTTATATGGCGCCTGAAAAACGAAGAAAAAGATTTCTTTACGTTCGATGTCTATATACTCTATGTAGATTGGATTAAATCGAAACTCTACTGATATAGTGATGTGACCAAAACTCCACTAGGGAACTGGAATTATTGAGACTGGTGGGGGTTCATGCATAATGCACATATATATTATAAACTTACTTGTTGGTATAGTAGATAATGTTAACATTTATTATCCGGAACAAATTTAACAAACGTTTTACAGAAATATTACAGAAATAAATATTATATGATAAATTTATAAAAATTTATTATTATATTTTGTGTATTCTTTGTAAAATAAAATTTAATTATTGTGGAAGAAGAGAAACAAGCAAATATTCTCGTATTTATATATATTTCTTTTATGTATGTATATTTTCCACATATTTTCTTAATAATTCTCTAATTTCCATAATATGGATTACAAAAATTAAATTTATTATAAAAATATTTTAATTTTTTTATAAGTAAAGAAATTACATAAGATAATTTTTATTTATTTTTTTTTAATTTGTTTTTTTAATAATTGTATTTTTTTATTAAGAAATTTGTATTAAGTATTTT